CCTACATTGCTGAAGGACAGCTCTGTTCGGGTTATCTCTGAGAATGGCTTTCATTCCTCAGCCTGCCCTATTTCCTGTTCCTCTTCCACTATCTTGGCTGGTGTTCAGCCCTAGGAATGAACCATTTCTCAGAACTGCTGTCTAACAAATATGTGTAGGTGCCCTCCTCCCTATCGACAGCTTTTGAATGCTAATTCTCCAAACTTTGTGTGAGTCCTTCCCACCCCTATATCCTCTGATGATACTCTCATGGGTTTTCTTCCACTGTTTCTTGCAGTTTTCCCTTGTTTTTCTTCAAAATCCACTCAAATAAAATGTAACTATGAAGTTCTACCTTCTGCAGATTATTGAAATCGGTATAGTTGCATTTGGTAGGTGACGCAGCATTCCAGGTCCTTTGTCCCCACTTCGGTGCACATCTGTGCGGAAAACACCTTCCAAGATGGTCCTTAATGTCTGGCTTCTCTACACCTGCCAGAAGCTGAGGGAGGTCTGATGCTGAGGAGCTCAGGAAGACCAATCTTACCAGTCACCTCCTTGTATCAACTGCAACCCAACAGTCCGGCCAGTTTTCTTAAAGTCAGTCCCGCCACTGAGTCTCAGCAACACATCTGGACTCCCAGGAATACGACCTCGCCTTTTTATTGGGTTGAATTTAGTTCCTTATGCCTGAGACTTTTTTGCTCTGTAACAATGATGCATAATCTGGAGAAAGAATGTCTTAATGTTGGTATCTGTGTGGTTTCATTGGCTGATCTGCAAATAAGGAATTCTTGGCCTCCCTGCAGTGCCAACATTGTAACTAGGTTGGAGCTACATATACAAAGCCTGGAGTCCTGCTCAGAGGTCTGTAATCTGTTAGTTACCCTCACTGCTATTCCAGGAGGTTTATCCTGGAAACAAAGGCAAAGTCAGGGACAGGACAGAGTGTGAAAAATCATTCATGGAGACTTTTCTTAAAGGTTTGCTGTGATAGTATTCAAAATATCATTCCTTTAAGGGGAAATCTAGAAGTTAAAAACAAAAAGGAATCGTATAATATGGGGCCGACAGTGGCACAGTGGTAAAACAGTGCTCTGCAAGACAAACCCACATAGGAATGTTCCAGGTTTGAGTCAGGCGACCTCCCTGAGTCCACTGGGCATGTGCGTGCCCATGATCTGGGCTGACTAAAGCTGGGGGTGAATCGTGGTGTCAGGACCCTGTGTGAGGTGCTCTCTGTCATTCTCTCCTCCATTGTCTCTCTTACTCATGGAAGAAAAAACAAAAGAAAAGAAAGACCCTTCAGAACAAAAAGAATCATAAGACATCACAAAACTGTGAGGAAAATGAGAAAGCCTCACCCTTGCCTCAGGTCATGGAGAAGTACCCATAGGCTCCATAAACCACACCATCATCACTTGCGCTCTGCAGCCCGTAATATCCAATCACAAACATGTGTGGTATTTAGCTCAGCTACTTGACAGAAAATGCCATTTGTAAAATATTAAACCACAACAAAACATATCCATGCCTTCAAGTATTATCAGTACGGGTTCCAGCTCAACTCCCCAACCCTGTGCCTCCCCTTTGGTATTTAATCTTCTCTTTTCCAGCATGAATTTGAATCCTGTTTTTATTTTTTTTTCTTTTTTGGGGGGTGGGGGGTTGGATTTCTGCTATAGGGCGCGTGCAGAGAGACAGAGAGACAGAAAGTGAGAAAGCATTCTGGCTATTTTAAAAAACCTGGTTTTAATAATCTGTTCCTTTCTTGAATTTAGAGAGTAGTGACAGATTTTCTTTTTAACTAAAGTCTAACCAAACTCAGAGCCTGCTTACTAAATTGTCTTTTCAACTTTTGTCTAAAAGACTTGAACAGGCCCAGCTGTGAAGGCGCAGGCAGTTGGGGAGTTGATATGTGCAATGCTGGAGGCCAGATGGGAAGGCTCCAGGTTCGCTTCCTGGATCTACCTGAGCACAATGGACACACCCTTGTGATCTGAGCTGCT